ATATTGGTTATATATATAACAAAGCTCCACAGCAATAATACTCACAGCCAGGGCCGGACTGGGAAAAAAATTAGGCCCGGGCATTTTTCAATCAGAGCGGCCCCCTAAGAAAGGGGCGGGGCCAGAGAGTGTGTGTTTTGTCATCACTAATGACAACACGCCCCCTCTCAGTGAGCATGTTGGTTCAATGCCCAGAGCCCTGCTGAAGAGCTCTGACATTAGAAAAAGACCCTGAATTTGTTCTGCGCAGCGCAAGCAAATTTAATAACATGCTTGTGCTGTGTTTGCTTTTAAATTGTCTCTGGTGTTTCCACAAGTGGGATACCAGAGGACAAAAGGGCCAGGAAAGTGCATGGTGCATATGTTTGGAGCCTGCTTGTGGGATTGCATGTGTGTAGAGAGTGGTGTGGTATTGTATAAATAGGTCAATTTAATTTGTGTTTGTGGTGTAATATGTGTGCATATGGGCTGAAGTGTGTGTGTATAGGTGACGTAGTGTGTGTAGGGGTTGCAGAGAGGGTGTGTTTAGAGAATGTTGTATGTGTTTGCTGACAAGGAATGTAGTGTGTGTGTGTAGGAGATCTACTGTGTAAAGGACCCAGTGTGTGTGTGTAGAGGATTAAGAGTGCATATAGGGTAAGGGATCTAATGTGTATCTGGAGCGTGTGTAGTGGTGCAGGGTGAGGGGTGCTGTAGTGTGTTTGTGTGTGTGTGTGTATGTATGTATATATATATATATATATATATTTTGACTTATTGTATGTGTGAGGGGCGCAGTGTGTGTATGTAAGAGGGGTGCTGTGTGTGAGGGTGTTTTTATCTGCTGTCACATTCTAGGTTTCTAATTTTCTTTGTCTGTTAACTCACTGAGGGTTATTTTATATATATATGTGTGTGCTGTGTGTGAGTGAGGGTGCTGTGTGTGTCTGGGTGCTGTGTGTTTGGGGGGCGCTGTGTCTGTCTGGGTGGCGCTGTGTGTGTCTGGGTGCGCTGTGTGTGTCTGGGTGCTGTGTGTGTCTGGGGGGTGCTGTGTCTGGGTGCTGTGTGTGTCTGGGGGGTGCTATGTGTGTCTGGGTGCAGTGTGTGTCTGGGGTGCTGTGTCTGGGGTGCAGTGTGTGTCTGGGGGTGCTGTGCAGGGTTTTGGTGTGTGTGTCTGGGGTGCAGTGTGTGTCTGGGGGTGCTGTGTGTGTGTGTCTGGGGTGGGTGTGCTGTGTGTGGGGGTCTGGGGGGTGCTGTGTCTCGGGTGCTGTGTGTGTCTGGGTGCAGTGTCTGGGTGCTGTGTCTGGGTGCAGTGTGTGTCTGGGGGGTGCTGTGTCTGGGTGCTGTGTGTCTGGGGTGCTGTGTCTGGGTGCAGTGTGTGTCTGGGGGTGCTGTGTCTGTCTGGGGGCGCTGTGTCTGGGTGCTGTGTGTGTCTGGGGGGCGCTGTGTCTGGGTGCAGTGTGTGTCTGGGGTGCTGTGTCTGGGTGCAGTGTGTGTGTGTCTGGGGGTGCTGTGTCTGGGTGCAGTGTGTGTCTGGGGGGTGCTGTGTCTGGGTGCTGTGTGTGTCTGGGGTGCTGTGTGTGGGTGCAGTGTGTGTCTGGGGTGCTGTGTGTGTGTCTGGGGGGTGCTGTGTCTGTCTGGGGGGTGCTGTGTCTGGGTGCTGTCTGTGGGTGTCAGTGTGTGTCTGGGGGGTGCTGTGTCTGGGTGCTGTGTGTGTCTGGGGGGTGCTGTGTCTGGGTGCTGTGTGTGTCTGGGTGCTGTGTGTGTCTGGGGGGTTCTGTGTATGGGGGTGCTGTGTATGGGGGTGCTGTGTGTGTGAATGTATTTTTTTATTTAAATTTAAATATTTTTTTTACTAATAAAAAAAAAAAAAAAATTATATCCCCCCCCTCCCTTCTTACCTTTATCCTGGGAGGGGGGGGAGGGAGAAGATCAGTTCTCCCTGGGGGGTTGGGAGCCATGCTGCCTTCCCTGGTGGTCCAGTGGTGAGAGTGAACTTTAACCTGCGGGTTAGAGTTCACTCTCGCGAGATCTGAGCGTTGCCGCGGCAACGCTCAGAATCCCGCGAGAGGACCGGCGGAGCTGCTTGTTGGAGCTCCGCCGGGTCCTCCCTCCCTCCCTCACCAGCCGGCGCGGCCGCATCTCACTGTCTGTGGGCCGGTGAGGGAGATCTTTGATCTCCCCACCGGCCCACGGAGGCACTATGCAGGGCCGGCGCTCGGATAGCGCTGGCCCTGCAGGGGCCGGCCGGGGAGATCCCCTGCCGGCCTCGGCCCCACGGCCATCGCGGCCCACCGGGCATTTGCCCGGTGTGCCCGATGGCCAGTCCGGGCCTGCTCACAGCATTGTCTTTAAAGTTTCCAAACGTGTCTACAACGTGTCTACAAACGTGTATTCCTGACCCTATTGGATTGGCTGAGGTTGTCAATTCTGATGATCTCAGCCAAGGAGGCAGGGTGGGAGTCAGAACAAAACACTGCACTGGCCAATCAGCAGCATCTCCTCAAAGAGATGCATTGAACCTCTATGGGGAAAGTTCAGCACCTCCATGCAGCGCATGGAGACACTCAACATCAGTTCTGCACTTTGTGCAGCACTGCCCCAGGAAGCACCTCTAGTGCCCGTCTTAGTGACTGCCATTGGAGGTGTTACTAGGCAGCCATGTGAACACTGACTTTTCTCTAGGGTATTATTACACAGGGAAGAGAAGGTTCGATGACATGGGACAGAGAGAGGAGTAGGTAAGATGACATTGGGAAATTGAGTCAGCCATAAATCCCCAATCTTTTACATATATCATAAATTGTCCAAATGTGCTATATCACACCATATCATGGGCACCTAAGGGTAAAATACTTGTATGATAAATTATAATAATAGAAATCTTATATTTAAAGGAACATTATAGGGTCAGGAACACAAACACTACCAAGCCCCCCCTTTACCCACCTAAATATTGTAAAATATTACCTTTATTCCAGTCTGCTGGTGCTGGCTCCGCCGCCGATCTGCCTAGATTGACTGAGATGATCAATTCTGATGATCTCAGCCAAGGAGGCGGGCCAGGGTGGAGCCAAATGCCACCCTTGCCAATCAGGATCTACTCATAGAGATGCAATGAATCAATACATCTCTATAAGGAAAGTTCAGTGTCTAGGCTGTAATGTAAACAGTGCATTTTCTCTGAACAAACAGTGTTAACAGCAAAAAGCCAGAAGTGAATGATTGTACACACCAGAACAAATGCAATACGCTGTAGTTGTTCTGTGACTATAGTGTCCCTTTAAACCAATACTAGAACAGTTTCATTTGGCTATTTTCTACATGAATGTATAAATAATTACACTACAGTACAAAATTGCCATATATTTCCTTCAAACACTAACTTTGACGTTTTCTCCGTATCTGAGTAAATAACTGATGAAAGCAAACAGCAATTGAGTGTCTCTGTGCTGCCACCTACTGTAAATGACTAGAATATATTCTTATATACTGTAATTTTATCTCTGAAAAATTGTTTTCAAAAATTGGTATATAAACACATTTTTAGACGCACCCAGTCACGTAAGAGTGTGTAGTGGTTGTGAATATAATTTTTCAGAGATAAAATTACTGTGGGTAGAGGGCGTTGCGAGCGCTCTGAATGAAACGGAAATATTATTTACTTTCTACTTGTTTTTTTTTTTTTTTTATAATAGTTATCCTGTTACAAAGGGCAAAGCTTATAACAATTGACAAGGAGCTAAGATTCTTTAATTTTGTTTTGGATTATTACAATTATGGCTATAGAAGTCACAGTTTGCTGTGGGGAAACAATAGGCGGGGGGTGAGGGGGTTGGGAGCTCCAAAGCCGTAGCCAGGTGCCCATAATCTCCGGCTCTGATCGGGATCCTCTCCAAGGGTCTTTATCTCAGTGATATTTTTGTACAGATCCATGTTACATAGAATGTGACGGCAGATGAGAACCATTTGGCCCATCTACTCTGCCCAATTTTCTAAATACTTTCATCATTATAGCTAGGATAGCCTTATGCTTATCCCATGCACACTTAAAACTCCTTCACTATGTTAACCTCTACCACTTCAGCTCTACCACTATAAGTTGTACTATATTGTCCATTGTGTCCACTGCGTCTTTTTTGTGTTTGCCTCATTCTGGTGTTGTCCATGATTACCCCCACATGTTGAAGGGATACTTCAAGCACCGTGATCACTTTAATAATTTGAAGTTGTTATGGTGCCTGGAGTTTGCATGTGCAGTGTTTTGTTTTGAAACGATGCAAATAAGAAGATTAACCCCCTGACTGCAAGATATGTAATTCCCTCTCTGGCAGCATCATTTGGGTGTCATCGGTCAGCCTAAATCGCAAGTATCAACTTTAGTTGCACACAATGTCGGTTATTGACTGAGAATGGTTAAATGACGCTCCACAGAGGACAACCAGGCAGCATTGGAGCCCAGCAGTGACCCAGGTAAGGGGGCAAACTAACGCTAAATGCTTAGTTCCATCACTGGGGAACCGGTCCAAGATACTTTTGGCATCATACCCACCTAGGTGGACCGTAATAGTTATGCTTTGAAAAATGCTGTAACTGAAAGGAGGTGAGAATATAGGAGATGTGTACTGGCAATCATTACCAACCATGAGTTACTTGCAGAGGTGTTACTTCAAGGAAGATATTTAGTTTCTATCTTCACCAACTCTGAATTCTCATGGTTTCATTGGAGAAGACTTTTTGTCCCCAGTCCTGGGTGTCTTTGTGGAAAGATAGAATGTTGTTTGTCTGTGTTATTCTAAAGTTCTCAGCATTATCTTTATCATCTACATATACTGTACATGTAGCTATTGTACAAAGTCTGTTTTGTTTGATGCATATCTTGAACTGCGCACGTGATAAGGACGGTCTCTGGGGGAGGCTGCATTAAGGGACGATACTTACCTATTGTCCATGTTGACCTTGGTGCAACTGATAAAACAGATTATTCTTTCGTCTAAGAATGGGATGCCAAAAGTTAGCCATTTCCTTCCATTTTTTTAATTTTATTCTGTAGTTCAGCAATACATTCAAAGGTAGTAAGTGAGCAATACAAAACTACTGTATAAAAGATCAACACTGCACAATCGGGATTAGTTAAATTACATTTTTAGGATTCTATCCAATTATAATTTACGTTTTTATGCTATTGTATGTTTTTTCTATTCTTCTTAAGGTGAATAAAAGACGCCACCTGTTTTATAACTTTAGATAGTGTTTTGTTTTTAATAACTTTTAGCCCTTTTTACATTCTTTATGTGGTAACTTTTATATAAGTGCTTCACTACTTTGATTGTTGGTTTGGTTTTTATATGCTAGGAGAAATTGTATATTGTAACGTTACAGCAGCTATTACAGAAATTGAGTATTTAATATATGATATAAAAGACATATCTAGTAAACAGCGCTTTTTGCACAAATGCACTTTGGGTAAAATAACACCAATAGTGATGTCCCGAACAGTTCGCCGAACGGTTCGCCACGGACTCGTCATTGAGTAAACTTTGACCCTGTACCTCACAGTCAGCAGACACATTCCAGCCAATCAGCAGCAGACCCTCCCTCCCAGACCCTCCCACCTCCTGGACAGCTCACTAAGAATGCAGCTTCACAATGAATGTAAAATGGATGCTGTCCAGGAGGTGGGAGGGTCTGGGAGGGAGGGTCTGCTGCTGATTGGCTGGAATGTGTCTGCTGACTGTGAGGTACAGGGTCAAAGTTTACTCAATGATGAGTCCGTGGTGAACCGTTCACGGCGAACCGTTCGCGAACCGTTCGGCGAACCGTTCGGGACATCACTAAACACCAACTATAAACCACACAGCGCTATCACCTAGTCAGGCCGGTGCACAGAGCAACTACACGCAGAGTAGTCAACTGTTGGTGCTCCAGATGTGGACTACCTCTCTCCCCATGATTGGGAAACATTATAGCTATAAGAGTGTTATGGGAGACTTAGTCCACACCATCTGGAGTTCCCAAGGTTGCTTAACTAGTGAACAGTCAACAGCAATATAAATATCTAAAGCAAATTAAGTATATACAGACTTAGCCATTGGAAGCATCCATGGTATTTTGTGATTGAGGGAGTTACACTTAGCAGATATGTCTAGAACAGATCAAAGATACATCTTGATCACTCTCCCACAAAATGCTGGACATTTAATGCTGGTTCTAATCTGTAACCAGCTCTGTTGTAAAATCTTATTTTGAACTTTATATATTGATTATAGGGTACGTAATAGGTTATTGTCCTCCGGATAGATCGTGATGAGCGTTATGATAACTGCGGCCAATTAATTTAATTAAAGGATCATGGTTCATGGACTTATGTCCTACAGGAATTAATATAGCAAAAAAAAATAAAAAATATATATATATATATATATATAAAATCAGTATACTATAAATATCCATGCTATAATATAATGCTGTATATTTCTGTTCCTGTCAATCTGTAGTGACCACTTGCTCAGCAGGAAGCTCACTGAGATCTCATTGTATTTTCGGAAGAAGGTTGGTGCTTTTCCCCCCTCCACGTTTTTTTTCTTGTTTATTTACAGAATAATCTATGAGCCTGTCCAGCCAACAGAAACCTAGAAAATAATAATTTCATATTACTTAGCAGCAAAGTCAGAATTTCTATATGGTGAGTTGTGTTGATAAATATATTGTCAAATAATGGAATTTCACACTTAAGGCCAAAGTCTCTCAACTGGAAAAAAAAAAAAGATTCAATAGTTTTCCCAGTTTTGACCTAAAAGGAGCAATTCTCTAATAAAGTCTCAGTTTAGTGTATATACTTATACGACTGATCTCCTTAACAAGCCTGAGTTTACAGAATAGGGCTGGTCCATACCTCCCAAGTGTCCCTGTTTAGGAGGGACAGTCCCTATTGTGTTGCAAATCCCTCTGTCCCTCTTTTCTATCCTGATGTCCCTCTTTTCTAGGAGCTCCATATTGTTGGTGTGTGAATGTTTAACAGAGCTCCACAGCAATAACACTCACAATAATGTGTCTTTAAACTGCAATAAATGTGTTTAGAAATCAGTCTGTATAGATAAGATACTTAGTTTGTGTTCTAAATTACATTATAGCTGCTTAAATTGTTATTAGTTAGTCATCTAAAATCTCTAAAAACATCCCTGACCCTGGCCACACCGCCACTCACACCCCTAACATTAGTGTGACTCTCTTTGTACAGAAGCATATATATTTAAAAGAAGAATAACTACCACAACAAGAGGACATGGTGTTAAATCAGAGGGGCAAAGGTTTAAAACTAATATCAGGAAGTATTACTTTACTGAGAGGGTAGTGGATACACGGAATAGACTTCCAGCTGAAGTGGTAGATGTTAACACAGTGAGAGAATTTAAGCATGCATGGGACAGGCATAAGGCTATCTTAACTATAAGATAAGGCCAGGGATTAATGGAAGTATTTATTGGGCAGAATAGATGGGCCGAATGGTTCTTGTCTACCATCGCATTCTATATTTCTATGTTTCTAGTGGATGATACATCTAAGGAGAAGAAAGGAGGAGTAGACATGGGAAGATAAAGGAGCAAGCATGAGTAGATGAGGAGAACGAACATAGGAAGACAACAGAAAGGAATGTAGAGAGGGATGAAAGAACAAATAAAAAATAAAAGTAAAAATAGGAGAGATGGGGAAATGAACAGGAAGAGTAGAAGTAGGGGAAGACAAGTTTCGGCGATGGAGGAGGAAGCAGTCCTGAGAGACAAGGCACAGTGATAGGTGAGGGAGTCCTGAGAGACAAGGCACACTGATAGATGTGGGAGTCCTGAGAGACAAGGCACACTGATAGATGTGGGAGTCCTAAGAGACAAGGCACAGTGATAGGTGAGGGAGTCCTGAGAGACAAGGCACAGTGATAGATGTGGGAGTCCTGAGAGACAAGGCACAGAGATAGATGAGGGAATCCAGAGAGACAAGACACGGTGATAGATGAGGGAGTCCTGAGAGACAAGGCACAGTGATAGATGTGGGAGTTGAAGATGCAGACACAAGATGGAGAGAAGAGACAGACCCAAAAGTCAAGGGAATAGGGTTTTTACAGAGCCAAATTGCACAGGAAGGATTTAAAGGGAACCTATAGGCTAGGAATACAAGCTTGTATTCCTGGCACTTTAACTCCACCTAGTCACCCCTCTCTCAGCGCTGGGTAAGGCCTTAGTTCCAATTATAATGTTTTCATTTATTTTTTAAAAACACACTTCAGTAAATGGCATTTCTGGGGGCTAAATCAGGAAATAACGCAATGGGTGTAACGGGGGTGAAAGTCATTGCTGATCTAATTCGGCCATGAATGATGTAGGTGGTTACTGCATTTATAAAGAATCATAAATAATAGTACAATAGGCAAGGCCCATTCCATACCTGAATCCTATAGACACTAGTAGGGACCCAACTGTAGGTCCAACCCAGTATACCCAGTGATAATCCCAGTAGCTGGCTACGATCGCAGGACCCAAAGCACGTGCTGGATTCAGACAGGATCCTGATATGGAGCCTCTGCAAGACAACAAGGAATACTCGTTACCATTTTATACCACGTGCTTCCTGACACCAACAACATTGCCAGTCACCCCAGCGACTCTTTAAAACAAATTAATGTGTTGCAGTAATATCCATCATGGACACCTTTATTTTTAATTTAATATTAAAAGAAGAAATTTCAGGATTTATTTTCTACACTTTTCCTATATTGGATTAATTTCAGATGAAGATGTCTCTACTTACTATGCATGGGGCAAGACTGAAATGTTTATTTTTCAAGACTGAATATTTTATTATTCTGTAAACTGACAATTTATTTTTGGTGAGGCAGTGGTGTGCTTGCTTGCAGGCTTCCCTGTGAATACCCGTGATGCATTGAGGCTGGGATCCTTACTGGTGGTTTTATATTGGATGAGTAGGTTTACCAGTTCACCTTTGTTAAAATAGCGCTAAACTATATTCAAATATCTTACCATGATACCAGTTATGCTAGCTGTGTCTTCTAACTGACCATCCCTCAGACCCCTGCACAGGTAAGATACATTGTGTTCTATAGAAGAACCAGGAAAGGGCCTTCTGGCTACTAAAGTTACATTGTTATCGCTCTGTAGGACGTGAGTATTCCAGCCTTCCTACAGTACTACACTAGTGCTTATTGCATGATGGGTCATGATATGGATGTTTATTTAATCGACAGCTACGTGTCATGTATACATCCTCTCCATATGCTATGCACAATATAAATCACTTTTCCAGGAGTAGGAGAAGTGCTGCTCGGCGGTCCTATGCCATAAGGCCGGGCTTTTGCGACATGCCGGTGGATGCCGGCCGCTGCGGATCCACATTGTTATGTAGCCCCACATCTGCCCACGGTGGAAGTGAAGTCGACGTGCGGGTGACGTCACGCAGAAGACGCGCGCGCACGTTTTGGGGTCAAAGGTCGGGTACAGCCAATCAGATTCACAAGAGGGATATTTAAACTCACTCATTTCTTCTAATCATTGCCCTGTCTTGGTTTCCTTTTGCTGGTTATCCGAGAGTGTGTTCCTGATCGTGTTTCTTTGGTTATTGGCTTTGGCTTCATTCTGACTCCCTTGAATTCTGGTTTCCCTGACTACTGGCTATTCCTTGCAACTCTGTTTCGTTCTGTATTCCTGACCTCGGCTAGTATTTCGACAATTCTCTGGTATGTTAAGTCCGGCCATTCTAAGGTCCGGTTAGAGGTTATCCTTATTCCTAAGTGTGATACTAATACTGTGGATCAGCTATAATCCTGACACTACGCACACTTAATATCTAAAAGTGTAAGATATAACTCATTGTGTAACGAACTGTGTGTGCTACATGGTTTTACAGTTACTAGTAAACTGATCACAATATTTCAGGACCCTCAAGACATCAAAGTGTTAATATATCTTTTGGATAGTGAATAGATATTTTGAATAAATTCTATTGAAGTGCTTCTTGGCATTTTAAACACTAGTGGATTCTATGTACCATAAAATTGCAAGCTTCTGTGACAAAAGGCAGCAAAAGGGGTACTTACCCTATTAAAATTGCAGCGATTAGGGTGAAAGCGACAGAATAAGGGGCAAGCTTGGTTTTGGATCGTTCGCCCACGACTCCCATTAATACAATAAGTATTAGGAAAAAAGTCATGACTATTTCCACTCCAACTGCTTTGCCCACAGTGGTTCTGCTATTCACCATGCAAGCTGCCCCCGTCTGATTGACAAAGGACGCTTCGTCTGCCAAGCCCTGAAATATACAGAAAAAAATGCCATTTCAGTTAATTTCACTCTGAATTTAACGTTATTCAATATACGTCTACAATAATAAAGTTATTATTTTATACCAAGGCTTGTTAGGGTGTAGAATCCATGTCTGTCAATATATATCTATTACAGATTTATGTCAATGCAAACCTTAGCAAGAAGAGCGCCCAGCATCCCTCCCGACAGTTGACAGATCCAGTAGGGTATGATGAGAATCGGCGTCATGCCACCACAAAGCACGACTGCCAGGGTAATAGCCGGGTTGAAATGTCCACCGCTGTAGACATGAATTCACATTATTTTGTGTATATTTAAAGTTCGATTTACATTTCTAAATATCCTTCCTCCTCATTATAAATACATATATATGTATATAAATACCATACACATAGTCATTAATACATTATAAATTGACATTAGCCTGAGAATGGAAAGAATTTTGTGTACACTTAAAGGGACATTGTACACAATATAACATTCTATCTCACTGAAGTGGTAATAGTGTGTTGAGTCCCCTGGCACTATACCTCCATTCAGATACCTCCATTCAGGGTTAAACCTTTTTGGAGCAGTTTAACACTGAATGAGAGTCCACTGGAGGCTCGGGCAATGACATGAACCAGTTACAGGGCCTACAGTGTACCTTTAAGGGACCAAGCTGATTTAGTGAATTTGGTGCAGGCTTCAAGGAAGAATATTCCAAGCATAGTCAGCATTTTTTCTGTCGAGTAGATATATATGTTTTTTTTTTTTGTTAAATCTATTTTTATTGATAAGTAGTTCAAACAAGCATTACATACATTAAAGAGCTTTACAAGTTGAGACGCGCAGGTCTCCAGCATACCACCAATTTGAGGATATTAATCACATTGTGCTGGGGTTCTCGTCCGTGTTACCCCGTGAGTTTCATTGCTTTTTTTTTTTTTTTGGTAAATCTTTTTTGTTATATGACAGAGTGAAACATCGGTCGTAATAATGCAAAATATTTGACATCGTGCAGTACACCAAAATATGCAGGTCGGGAGGGGAGGGCCTGTACAGTTTTCGTAACGTAAAGGTTTTGTTTCCCTTATTCCTCACACTCTGTAGTTCCATCTCCCCACCTCCTTCCATTTGACTTTATTACTTCGCCTCGTTGTGTCGAGCGATAGAATATGTGATTGTCCCTAGGTGCGAGTTAGTGAGATATGTGAGGTAGTGAGATGTAACGTTGAGACTCACGGGTCTTAGTGTTCCAGATGTGTATGCGGGTCTATAGCGTGCCATGAGAGTAGGTTTAGTGGATTGTATAATACGTGTCCCCATAGTAGATATATATGTTATTTCAAACATTTTAAATACACCTGAATAATTTCAGATAAAAAACAGGGCATATAGGCCATTGTATGCCTTATAGTTTTTGCAATGTATTGCAGAGGATCTGTTTTAAATTACTACAAGACTTTTGCAGTACGAATGAATCTAAGAAATCAGCACTGTACATAGAGCATCAACACTAACCTTACATTGCCCAACACAGAGATCAGGGATGCCAAAGTAAATCCTTGGGCAAGGGCTGGCTGCAGAGGGCTTGCTCCATCAGGGTTGGTCATCACCGAGAGACATACTATGGAGATTAATAAGGTGGTCCCGAGCAGCTCCACCAAACAAGGCTGAACATATATTTCCAGAATGTTGGGCTTTTGTTTCTCTGGGGCAGTGAGAGTCTCTCTGGATGTCGATGCCATGATTTGCAGTTCAGTCACAATGTTATACTGATTGGATTTGGCCATGAAGTGTCAACTCCAGCAAGACAAGGCAAGTTGTATACTCCAGCTTTGAGAAAAAATATAAAAGCTCTGAAAGATGATGATACACTTGTTAAGCTTTGGTACAGCTAGTCAAGGAGAGGCAGCATACTTCAGGCTAGGGAGCCCCGAAAATGGTGGTAAGCGGTCAAAGACTGAGACCGATGGCACAAGCACTCACTAAGATTGAACAAGAACACCAGGGGCTCTGAGCAGACTGAACTACCGAAAGGGTTATTCACCAAGGGAGGATTGTTGGGAAATGTAAGTGAATTTCAAATTCAAGGGCAAAATAAAAATATACTCCAAGTCAGCTATGCTTTGGTTACGTTTGCCTTAATTGTGAATATTCTACTAATTGAATATTCTACTTGGGGTCATGGAAAAAAAATATATAAATAAAAAACTGTTTAGAAAGTATTTTTATGTAAGGTTGTTGGCTGCAGACTGCAATGCAAGTCCTAAAAAAATAAAAAAATAAAGTTGCCTTACACATGTGTATCCGATTCCTTGCCTATACCATAAATCGATTAACCCATGATTTGCACTGGATCCTCTTTTACGAATGTGTTGCCTTTGCATTAATTCCCCTTAGAAGAAATGTCTTAAATCCCCAGACTTGCACGGAAGCCCAGGAATTAAATAAATATTTTAAACTATGGTTCTATATATAATAGAATTGAACAACTGTACAACACCTAGGAGAAGCTAGCACGCTAAAATAAATCCACTCACACTTACCACTTTTCCCTGGTACGGTTTCGACCGCTGTCTTTAAATCAGAATATGGTTAGCTCTGCTCATCACTACATTCAAACGAAAAATACATTGCAACCTTTCAAAGTTCAAGTATGTATAGTAAAGTGTAGGGGCAATAAACCTGAGGACAAATTATGAACTGCAAAGAATCAGTAATATCTGTTCGTGAGATTTGTTATTAGCTAGATAAAAAGTGGTTGTGGGTTGAACTGGCCTAACGTGGCCTGCTTTGATGAAAAAAATAATAATTTTTCCTCTGTTTATTGTCCAGTAGGTGGTCATAGGACCTGCAGCTACGATCATGCGCTTCTGCAACATCATCTTCTTGTGGTCTAATTTAAAGAAACTTATGTCTAGTCCCCAGTAGCATTGATCTCCTTATCTGGTGAAGAGACACAGCATAGCAGAAACTAACAGGTTCTGCGTAAGGCAGGGTCGGATTAACATAGGGGCTGATGGAGCTGCAGCTCCAGGCCCATGCCCATGGAATAGGCCCATTGATTTAAAAAAAAAAAATATATATATATATATATATATATATAATTTTTTATAACTACTCTTCACATGCTCTAGCTTAAGTCTGGAAACTTAAGAGGGATGTAGGAAAACAAACGTGGCGTGGACTGGCTAACAATGAAATTAGTTAAGGTAAAGCTGACTTTGCACACTATGCAAATGCTCTTGCTACTTCAGTCTCTCTAACACTGTGGCTTGTTCCCTTTCTGCTACACTCACTGCATACACCTTTCCTCTGTCCCAGACTATATACCAGCAGTTTCTGCCAGCTAGTAAGAAGGTAAGGAGAGGAGTGGACCAGCGAGTGCTAGGGGACAGTTCTTAAAAAGAGAGAATCATTATCTGTATTTATGCCAAGTTCAGGGTGCTGTCAGTATAGTATGACATTAGATGGCCAATTCTACAGGCAGACACGCCCACTTTTTGGGCATATTCGTCACTTTGGGCGTTTCTGGTTATGTGTTTTGCGTCCGTGGCCGACCCTTTTAGCTCGCCCACCGACATCCTTCTGTAAAGGGGTATAGATTTACTTGAAAGAGGAAAGCGAGAGATTAGCATGGGGTATGAGTTTTCTTATAGCTGCATCTTATGAGTTTCCCTCCAGCACCACCTCTGCCAGATACATAACACTTGGGAGGTGTGACTGTTTTAGTGTTTTCAGTCGATAGGATTCTGTAATTAGGCCTATCATAATTGTCAGCACCAGGCCCAATGAGCTCCTAATCTGGCCCAGCCCTAAGTGGGTACAGACAAGAGATCAGAGCCTTTGGGGGTACAAATCCTATGCAGCCTTACATTAGACACAATGGATTGGGGTAAGCTAAAAAAAACAAGACAGTAAGAGACACCCTAAGAATGGACAAAAGATTAATAGTTTGTCCTTGAGTGACCTTGGGTGGTGCCAACTCAGTAGGCCTTAAAATTGGCTTAGACTCACTTGTGCCATTGCAAAGGAAACCTATACTATCTCCTTATCAGCCTGATCCTACCATAACAGGCAATTGTTCCCCTTTGTGTGAGACACTAACCCTAGGAGACATCCCCTCAGACCTCTGTACTGTGTGGCATGCACGAGCCAGCAGAGGGCGCTACCAACACTGATGCCATGAATTTGGTAACATGCCTTCCAATATTTCTCCCATTAAATAAACAGGGGTTGACAAGTTAGAAAATGTATTGGAAAAATTCCCCATCTCGACAGAGCTGTAGGTTTCTTCCCCTCAACTATTTATGCATAACAAACGCCTTAGCATCAATAACACATTTATAGGTTCCCACTAAATGCGCCATCTCTCCCCCCTCCCCCTCTTGTCTGTGTTATGTTTCCAATTGCTCAAGTCTATTGTATCTGTGTAAGTGTTCCATAAATCTATGCATTCGGCTATTAGAATTAAGTTATATGGTGTTCTATGGGCAGAGAACGATTAATATTTGACCTGTAATGGCTTGTCACTTCAAAAATCAATCCACCTGTTTCTCTGTTGGTGAAAAATGGCTGATGTGTTCTGTAAACTGACTTTCCGCATCATTAGCACTAGAACTGTCATGGTTAGAAATACTATATTGCCCTATGCAGAGTGAGGCAGAGCCCATTTTAAGCACAACATTCCATTATTCATGGTATCACTCTAAAAAGGTCCAAAGATGTCATTGAAAAACACAATACGGGGGCACTTCTATGTGGTTTTCCAATAAGAATATAAATAAATAAAATCCTTTGAATTTAAGTAAGGACTAGTCACTTAGCTGGTATCAGGATGGAGATACAGACTGGTGTTGAGGCGTTTTGGGCAGGAGTGGTCCTCTCCACAAAAGAGCACTGTGGCATGAAATGAGGCATGAAATTTGGCAGTTGGATTTGTAGATATTACTTGATTTGTCGATGATCAGTGGGACATGCTGAGTGCTTTAAATCAGTATTTTGGGATCTGTTTATAAAGCTTGGAGTTGGATTTCTGCACAAATTGGTCATAAAATGTGACTTGATCATCATCTAAGTTACAACAATAGACAATCACAGTCTGCTTAAACTAATAACACACAAAGAATGAAATGTTGCCATGTTTTTATTGAACACACCATGTAAACATTCACAGTGCAGGTGGAAAAAGTATGTGAACCCCTAGACTAATGACATCTCCAAGAGCTAATTGGAGTGAGATGTCAGCCAACTGGAGTCCAATCAATGAGATGAGATTGGAGGTGTTGGTTACAGCTGCCCTGCCCTTAAAAAAAACACACACCAGTTCTGGGTTTGCTTTTCACAAGAAGCATTGCCTGATGTGAATGATGCCTCGCACAAAAGAGCTCTCAGAAGACCTACGATTAAGAATTGTTGACTTGCATAAAGCTGGAAAGAGTTATAAAAGTATCTCCAAAAGCCTTGCTGTTCATCAGTCCACGGTAAGACAAATTGTCTATAAATGGAGAAAATTCAGCACTGCTGCTACTCTCCCTAGGAGTGGCCGTCCTGTAAAGATGACTGCAAGAGCACAGCGCAGACTGCTCAATGAGGTGAAGAAGAATCCTAGAGTGTCAGCTAAAGACTTACAAATGTCACTGGCAAATGCTAACATCCTGTTAGCGAATCTACAATACGTAAAACACTAAACAAGAATGGATTTCATGGGAGGATACCACAGAGGAAGCCACTGCTGTCCAAACAAAACATTGCTGCACGTTTACAGTTTTCACAAGAGCACCTGGATGTTCCACAGCAGTACTGGCAAAATATTCTGTGCACAGATGAAACCAAAGTTGAGTTGTTTGGAAGAAACACACAACACTATGTGTGGCGAAAAAAAGGCACAGCACACCAACATCAAAACCTCATCCCAACTGTGAAGTATGGTGGTGGGGGCATCATGGTTTGGGGCTGCTTTGCTGTGTCAGGGCCTGGACAGATTGCTATCATCGAAGGAAAAATGAATTCCCAAGTTTATCAAGACATTTTGCAGGAGAACTTAAGGCCATCTGTCTACCAGCTGAAGCTCAACAGAAGATGGGTGTTGCAACAGGACAATGACCCAAAGCATAGAAGTAAATCAACAACAGAATGGCTTAGACAGAAGAAAATACGCCTTCTGAAGTGGCCCAGTCAGAGTCCTGACCTCAACCCGATTGAGATGCTGTGGCATGACCTCAAGAAAGCGATTCACACCAGACATCCCAAGAATATTGCTGAACTGAAACAGTTCTGTAAAGAGGAATGGTCAAGAATTACTCCTGACCGTTGTGCACGTCTGATCTGCAACTACAGGAAACGTTTGGTTGAAGTTATTGCTGCCAAAGGAGGTTCAACCAGTTATTAAATCCAAGGGTTCACATACTTTTTCCACCTGCACTGTGAATGTTTACATGGTGTGTTCAATAAAAACATGGAAACATTTCATTCTTTGTGTGTTATTAGTTTAAGCAGACTGTGATTGTCTATTGTTGTGACTTAGATGATGATCAGATCACATTTTATGACCAATTTGTGCAGAAATCCATATCATTCCAAAGGGTTCACACATACTTTTTCTTGCAACTGTAATTAAAGCATTCTATATACTGGGCACTCCATGACAGTTAATAGGACCCCATCAGAGTCTATGGGAAATCGCCATTAACTGAGTACCTGCCAATTTTACTCAGTGAATCTACCTATTAACTTTGAGAACCTGCTTGTACACTCTGAGATTGTGTCCATTGTGTGAATCACCTTTAGAATCTACCCATACAACATACATCTTGAGAACCTGCTCATACAATCTGTGAATCTCGACAAACTCCCTTACATTCTGCACATTTAAACTGAGAATGCCTCTTTCTGCCTGTCCTATCTATCTAGCCATACACGCGCAAGAAAGAGAGTTACCTTGAGAGGAGTCCCAGGTGGATCTGGTTCAGTGGATGTATGTTATCCTCACCTTGCTCTCGCTGAAGTCTTGTTTTTTCCTCTCTCTTTGTTCTCATGTACATGTTGGCATGGACTGGCACAGTTCGTCAGATTGGTGTAATAGTTTGCATCTAAAACTGGAAGCAGCAGTGTTCGGGGCCAGAGTGCTCTTGCCATTGTCTCTGGTTTATCATGTTTAAATTATGATTTCTGATGCAGATACCGATTCTGGCATAACTCCCTAGCCAGTGGTCTGAAAATGAAAACCGTATTAGGAACAATACCTAAACACAGATCGTCACAATATACCTTGGACCATAGACACTGGATCTCATCAAAATTATATTTTCTAGTGATCTAGCCCTAAAATGATAATTTATCAATTTTTAAGCAAAGTTAATGAAGTTTCCATTTCTAAATAAATTAGTACCCCTACCCAACCAATTCTATGAGCAGCAAAATATAGAAGATTTTATAGAACAGCGATGGGTACCTTTGGCACCCAAATGTCAGAGAACATCAGGTGCCATGTTCGGCTACCCTCGGGGTTGGTTGACCATCGTAGGAAACCTCGTTCAGACATCTGGAGTGCCAAGTTGCTCTAGAATGTTATTTATCAAACCTGGCCTAGTAACAGATTATCCAATAGTGTTCCACGATATATCCATAA